GGATAGAACTGGAGGGTATTATGCTAAGCAAAATTAGTCAGAGAAAGACAAATATCATATGACTTCACTCATATGAGGACTTTAAGACACAGAACAGATGAACACAAGCAAAAGGAAGCAAAAATAACATAAAAACAGGGAGGGGGACAAAACATAATAGACTCTTAAATATGGAGAACAAATAGGGTTACTGGAGGGAGTGTTGCAGGGGGGATGGGCTAAATGAGTAGGGGCATTAAGGAATCTACTCCTGAAATCATTGTTGCACTATATGCTAACTAACTTGGATGTAAGTTAAAAAAATAAAGTAAAAATAATAAAGTAAAGTAAAATAAAACAAATGTGCATGGCCAAAGAATAAATCAAAAGACTATTCTTTTAAATTTTAATAAACATGAAACATTTAAATGAACACAAATTCATGAGAACTAAGATCCTTAACCCAGCATGCAAACACAAAGTAAATTAATTATGCATGCATTATGTACTTACTAAGTGAAATTCCTCCCAATTACCAAATGTACCAGTAGTCATCCCTAAATTAAACTATTTCAGAAGTTTAAAAAAAAAAAAAAGTGCAAAGGGACAACAGGGAAGCAGCAAATGAGAAACTACGGTGCCCTCCGACCTCTTCAAAAGCCGTTCCCCATCACTCTTCGGTGAAAGGTACATGATCAGATATGTCCGGCAAGGTCCCATCAAGTGAAGCTACCTCTCAAGAATGGAAACGGCTGTGGGGAACAGAAGGCTTCTGTGTTTAACTTCATATAAGCCTGTTTCTTAGTGAGCAAAAATCAATTTCATGATAAACTTTAAAAATTCGAAAGCAGGGGCGCCTGGGTGGCGCAGTCGGTTAAGCGTCCGACTTCAGCCAGGTCACGATCTCGCGGTCCATGAGTTCGAGCCCCGCGTCGGGCTCTGGGCTGATGGCTCAGAGCCTGGAGCCTGTTTCCGATTCTGTGTCTCCCTCTCTCTCTGCCCCTCCCCCGTTCATGCTCTGTCTCTCTCTGTCCCAAAAATAAATAAACGTTGAAAAAAAAAAAAAAATTCGAAAGCAAAGCTCAGAGGTGAAAACTATAGTCTGCGGTAGACCATATTTTCCAAAGATGGCCACACTAATACATATCTCAACCGTACATGGTCTTTTTTCCAAAATGGAAATCCCTCCACTGACAGGAGGGGTCTGTTTTAACCTCCCCTTCAACCTGCCTTTGTAACCTACAGAACGTGATGAAGGAAGGTTGCACGGACGTTGGAGGCTATGTCTTCTGGGCAACATGGCTACCTGCTAACTTTCCCTGGGCGCATACACTTTTTAAGCCCCGAGTCTCTCTTTAAGAAGTTCAGCTATCTTGAAACCACCATGCTGAAGATCTTTGCTAGTGACAGAGATGCCCAAAGCCCCAGCTGCCTGGTTCTTCTCAGCCTGGGTGTCAGACATTGAATGAACAAGCCTCCGGATAATGGCAGCCCCCATAGGACACCCTGCCAGGCAGAAACCAGCAACCCCCACTGCGCTCCGTCAGAGTTCCTGACCCACAGAATATATGATTAGTTGTTTGGGGTAATTCGTTACGCAGCAATAGATAGTTAAGACACGGGCCATAAAATCAGGCAGATCTGGTTGGAATCCGGGTCCTGCCACTCACTGGCTGCGTGACCTTGGGCAACTAATTTAATAATTTAATAGTCATCACTATTATATCCGCAGCACCCAGTACAGTGCCTGACTCATCACAGGCACTCAAAGAAACTGCTGGACTAATAAATTCCCAGTGCCTGGAATCAACACACATTAGCTATCATTCTCAAGAAGGCAGACTACAGGTACCAGTTCACAGAGAAGACTGACACCCACCGGTTCCGAAGTTAACAAGTCAACGAGGCCTTTTCCAATACCTATCTTGAGATTTGTTATTGACATTTAGGCAATGCCTACAGGAAAATAATGTGGTAGTTTAGCTTTAAAATCCAAAAACAAGTGATTTTCTTCACAAGAGAACAACTAGTTATACACACAAGTGTACACACAGTCGGAGAAATAAAAATGAACACACTATTGCTGCACACCCAATAGCATGATGAATCCCACAAGTGTCATGTTAAGTGAAAGAAAACAAATAGAGGAGGAAATGATTCCATTTCCGCAAAGGTCAAAAACAGCCAAAGCTAGGCCCTGATGACAAAAAGTCAGACTACAGGTTGTCTCTGGGAAAGGAGGACTGACTGGGAGAAGGGACGGAGCTCTGTTCTGGGACACTGGTCCTGTTCTATTTCTTGACCCGAGTGGAAGCTTCACAAGTGTGTTCACCTGTAAAAGTTCATCAGATTGTACCCTTATGGTGTAAGTACTTTTCTGCGTGGGAAGCTATAGCTCAATTAAGATGTTTACTTTAAAAAACATATACGGGGCACCTGGGTAGCTCAGTCAGTTAAGTGTCCAACTCTTGGCTTTAGCTCAGGTCAATAACTCTCGGTTTGTAAGTTCGAGCCCCACATCGGGCTGTACTGCTGCCAGCACAGAGCCTGCTCGGGATCCTCTCTCCCCCTCTCTGTCTCTGCCCCTCCCCTGCACACCCATGCTCTCTCTCTCCCCCTCAAAATAAGGAAATAAATTTTAAAACACACACACACACACACACACAAGTAGCAAAATAAATTACCTGCACTCCAACCTTCTTTTCAAGGTAGGGGCTCTTAATCCTTTCATGTGATCTAAAAACAAAAAAATCAAAAATCATAAGCACATTTTTTTGAGAGGATTCCTTAGACCAAGCAAACAGTTGGCTGCTCTTTTTAAGTTCCTTTTACGAGAAGATACACGAAAGGTCCACTTTTATAAGAGAACAGATTCAGATTCATGTGGGCCATTGGCTCTTTCTTCCGCAGCTGAAGAGGGCATCTGAAAACAGGCCAGGAACCACTAAAAGCTGAGCATCTCTGGCCACCATGTAAATGGAGAACGATCTCCTGCATCTTAGGACTAAGTCTAAATCACTCCGAGTAGCCACAGAAGAATGAGTGACCAGCCTCTCACTTCAGAACTGCTTCCAAACTTGACATTCTTCTTTCATTTCAATCCAGTCATCCTTCGGGCCACATTATCTGTGACCCATTCCATTCTGGTCACTTAAGTTAGTCTGTCTGGAAATTCGAACTTGCTTCCACAGATTCCTCCAGGAACTCTTTCAGGCTTAGGCCAGCATCAGAAGAGTTCCATTCCCTTCTCAGGGGTGTCTGGGTGGCTCAGTCAGTTAAGCGTCTGACTCTTGATTTCCCACAGTCATGACATCGAGCCCCACGTCAGGCTCTGTGCTGAGCGTGGAGTCTGCTTGGGATTCTCTCTCTCGCCCTCTCTCTCTACCTGCCTCAACTCACCCTCTCGTTCTTTCACAAAATAAATAAATAAACTTTTTAAAAGGGAGAAAAAAAGAAGAATTTCATTCTCTTCTTAGCCTGCTGTGACTACTGGGCCGAAAGGTGGTGTATTTCCATTCACACAGGCCTGCTCCACAGCTGTCCAAATGAACAGATAGACGGCCTTTAAAGAAAGATAACATTTAAACCAAACAGTACATTAAACATACAGTGCATTCTAATGCATTCTGAATCTTCAGCATGGGAAGGATTGCTAGATAGCAATGATCACACCTTCTCAATTTACTTAATCAAACCAATCCCAGGGCGCCTGGGTGGCGCAGTCGGTTAAGCGTCCGACTTCAGCCAGGTCACGATCTCGCGGTCCGTGAGTTCGAGCCCCGCGTCAGGCTCTGGGCTGATGGCTCAGAGCCTGGAGCCTGTTTCCGATTCTGTGTCTCCCTCTCTCTCTGACCCTCCCCTGTTCATGCTCTGTCTCTCTCTGTCCCAAAAATAAATAAAAACGTTGAAAAAAAAATTTAAAAAAAAAAAAAACCAATCCCAATTATTCTAATTACCACCACGCGCACACACACACACCCTCATCAAATTACATGAACTCCAGAGAAAACAAGGCAGTCACCACACCCCACGTGGCAGACCTTGACAGGACATGCACCTGCACAGGACGGTTCATCTGCCCCCTCGGAGGGTGAATGTCCTCAGATCACTCCTGGCCCCAGGCTTTTAGGGCCTATGGGGGCGTCCCAGGGCAGGACTTGCCGTTGGGATTTCCCAAGAATTTGTGCCATGGCAAAAAGAGGCTGAATCGGGGCTCAGCTCCTCACTCCTCAACTAAATCAGCAGGCAGCACTCTATAGCTGTGCTCTATAGAAGGGGTTTTGTGTGACCTGTCATGCATTTCTGCCCAGAACCACACATACACAATCGTGGGGGGCTTAGTTGGCTTGTGCTCTGCATCTGGCCTAGGGATCAGAACTGGCCTTTCTGTTCCTGATGCCAAGAGGGATTAACTTGCCTCACCTCCTTGAGGCAGACCAGATCTATCTGGAATAGGTCAGGGAGGACGGAGAAATATGCAGACGCCCAGGCTCCTGAGGTTGTGAGATACAATAAGAGAAACAGAAAAACCAGCTCACTCAGGACTGCACTAGGCAAACCTCAGGACTAAGCGGAGATCACACACGGGTGGCGTACGTACTGCCCTGGCGGGAGAGCTAGTTGGAAGCCTCACCAGAGTGGAGAACGCTCCACCCAGGAACCTCAACTGGGACTCCAACGAGGCTGTTCACCGAGGGCCTTCCCCAGCCAGAAGGTTGGATTTTGTGAGTACCGGATTTGATGTCTTAACTCTCCTCTGTTCTTCTCTATCCTTCTCTCCCTTTTATGTTTACTCTAAGTGTTTAATTCCATACATTCCTTTTGCTTATAAAAAGCTTTGCTCCAAGAACCAGAAAGTGCGGCTATCGTGAATGACTATTATTCAAAACAAGCTGTTTTAATCAAGACGGCCGAGGACCACTCCAGCCCCCTTCCTACCTGGCAGCCTAGAGCACCGGGCCAGTTTACTTTGTGCTAGGCCTGCACCCAGGGTCTCCTCTCCCCTTCTCCTGGACCAGATTAAGTCATCGCAAATTGTTCCCTAGAGGGGTCTTCTCCCACCCTGGCCCACTATTTCAGGCCGTGGGTCCCCTCTTGTCCTCCGCACCTTCCTGAGGCTTAGTAAAGCCCACGCTGAGCACAGCACTGGATGCCTGGTGGTCCACAAACAGGCATCGAGTGGTCCATGGGATCTGATGTTGTATCAAAATGGGATGTTAATGTATCTATGTGATTTTTTTCTTCCAAAATCCATAGCGTTTGTCAGATATTCTGTATTAGTCTGCTCAGATTGACACAACAAAATACCATAGACAAGGCGGCTTAAAGCACAGAAACTTCCTACAGCTCTGGAGGCTCAATTCCAAGGTTGGTTTCTGGGGAGACACTCCTCCTGGCTTGCCACCTTCTTGCTGTGTGCTCACACAACCTTTCCTCAGTGTGAGTGTGTGTGTGTGTGTGTGTGTGTGTGTGTGTGTG